GGAGATCCGGAATCGTCCGGATCTCGGGGGGTAGTTCGTTCCAGAGGGTGGGGGCACCCACAGAGAAGGCCCTCCCCCTGGGGGTCGCCAGCCGACATTGCTTGGCCGACGGCACCCTGAGGAGGCCCGCTCTGTGGGAGCGTACCGGTCTGTGGGAGGGAATCTGTGGCAGAAGGCGGTCTCGGAGATAGCCAGGCCCAATGAGGGGGCCATAGTTCCCCCACGCTGGCTCAGGAATTCTGGGAGTTGAAGTCCACGAGTCATGAAGGGGCCAAAGTTTCCCCCATGCTGGCTCAGGAATTCTGGGAGTTGAAGTCCACCAGTCATGAAGGGGGCCATAGTTCCCCCATGCTGGCTGAGGAATTCTGGGAGTTGAAGTCCACGAGTCATAAAAGAGCCAAGGTTGCCTACCCCTGCCCTAGACCATTTCAGACAAATGGCTGTCCAATCTCATTAAAAATCTCCAGTGATTGAGCACCTACAACTTCCAGAGGGAAGCTGTTGATTATCCTCACAGTCAGGAAATTCCTCCTTATTTCTAGTCTGAATCTCTCTCTGATGAGTTTCTTCCCGTTACTTCTTATCCTACCTTCAGGGGCTTTGGAGAATAGGCTGACCCCCCCCTTCTCTGTGACAGCCCCTCAAATATTGGAAAGCCGCTATCATATCGCCCCTAGTCCTTCTTTTCATTAAACTAGATGTGCCCAACTCCAGCAACCGTCCTTCATATGTTTTAGCAGGGGGAGTTGAAGTCCAGGGGTCTTCAAACTTGGCCCTTTGATGACTTGTGGGCTTCAATTCCCAGAATTCCTCAGCCAGGCACTTGTGCCTGGCTGAGGAATTCTTGGAGTTGAAGTCCACAAGTCATCAAAGGGCCAAGTTTGAAGACCCCTGGACTTCAACTTCCAGAATTCCTCAGCTAGGCACGCTGGCTGAGGAATTCTGGGAGTTGAAGTCCACAAGTCATCAAAGGGCCAAGTTGGAAGACCCCTGGACTTCAACTTCCAGAATTCCTCAGCTAGGCACGCTGGCTGAGGAATTCTGGGAGTTGAAGTCCACAAGTCATCAAAGGGCCAAGTTTGAAGACCCCTGGACATCAACTCCCAGAATTCCTCAGCTAGGCACGTTGGCTGAGGAATTCTGGGAGTTGAAGTCCACGAGTCATCAAAGGGCCAAGTTGGAAGACCCCTGGACTTCAACTCCCAGAATTCCTCAGCTAGGCACATTGGCTGAGGAATTCTGGAAGTCCACAAGTCATCAAAGGGCCAAGTTGGAAGACCCCTGGCTTTAGTCTCCAGTCCCTTAATCACCTTTGTTGCTCTTCTCTGCACTCTTTCCAAAGTGGGGTCTTATCAAGGCATTACAAAGCGGTACCATCATTTCACGTGACCTTGATTCTACCTGACATAGAAAACAGATCTGGGGGCTTACAGATCTCTTTCGGGGTGTCCCTTCCCACCCACCCCCAACTCTCCATCCACCCAGAGGATCCCCTGAGCTGCAGGGATTCTCCTCCCATTAAACCGATCGGCACCGGAAGAAAAGCAGAAACTAACATTCGTCTTCCCACAAAAAAAAAAAAAAAAACCATGGAGGAAGGCTAGGAAAAGTCAGGAAGGATTTTTCTACTGAAATTAAAGTTTCAATGCAGGGGGGAAAAAATCCATCTTTGGCGGATGCTGCCTAGACGTGGAGACCCAGGGATCCCTACCCTTTTAATTTGCAATTTGT